ATTTATATATATATATATATATATATATATATATATATATATATATATATATATATCCCCCCGCATATGAACACATGATAAGAGAAGTCATGTATCATTTTCATCTGGAAAAACATCAGATTTACTTTGAAAGGTTCTGTGAAGAGGTTTTCTCATGTTCACAACCTGTTTAACATGTTCATATTTGTGCAGCTGATCTGGTTTGGGAGGAGATTATGTTTTGTAATTTTTTTCTTTCTTATGTGTGCGTATGTTCTAAAAAAGTAAAATTTCAATAAAAAGACTGATAAAAACATAAAAATATGTGTACAACATTGGTGAGAAAAAGGCTTTTTGTGTTCTCAGAATAAGTTTCAGATCTTTGAGTTCAGCTCATGAAAAATGGGAGCAAAAACCAAAGTGTCACGATTATATATATATGTTCAGTCTAATTTCACAGTCGTGCATGCAAGGTGTATGTAAAACTGATCAGAACTGTACAAACAAGTATCACAACACTACTAAACGATGTCTTTGTAATATCCTGATGCATGCTCAATAATCCAGGTAGAAAAATCACGTCTTTTGGACAAAAGACGAAACGTTTCAATTTTTTTATTTTTTTTATTTTTATCAGAGCACCAGACTTAACTTTGTTAAAAATTTTATAATATGTGTTTTTTTCTTATTAAAGCAGAGAAAAACAACTTCCTATTCATAAATTGTCAGTTGAGTTAGATAATTTGCAATTTTTCTAAAAAAAAAAAAAAAAAAAAAAATCCAACATTTATCTTTTTATTTCACAGACAGAGTTTATAAAACCATTGCAACAAACCAGATGAGAGTAATCTTACAAAAATGTGCAAGACGCATGAAAAGACCCCAAAAATGCTACAAAAATACAACAAGACGGTCTGGTGTGATTTTAGACAACAATTTTAAAATTGTACGTCAACTCTAAATCCTACATTTGAATAAATACAACATTTTATACTTTTAATACACAAAGTAATGCAAATGACTCTTTTTATGAGTGATGCTCATGCAGTAAATAAAACAAGTCCAATACACATCAACGAGCTGCAGCTTAGCTGGTCACTGTAGACATTTTAGTCCAAATGTTCCCATCATTTTCCTCGTCTCAAAGCAGCTTCATCTGTGTAAAAAGAGAGACAAATATCAGACGTGAGGGTTCATATTTCAACTTAAACATGAAGACACTGTGTCCATTGTTTCAGCAGTAAAGGAATCATTGTACTAGCATAGTCCTCTGGAGTCATGGGCTGGGAGATGACGGCTCTGAAGGCCTCCATCCACTCCCTCCTCTCCTCCTCCTGTTCACACATGAACACAAACTGCCTGCCCGGAGTCTCCAGGGTGATCCCGCAGTGCCACCGTCCTGACCTCGTGCTCCGACTGCAGCTCTCTGACACCAAGTAACCGTGATTCTCTGAACCGATGAAGACCGAGCCCAGATCTGTAGCATCCTGACCAACAGGGCAAACAGATGACGGGTTCAGATTACACAAGCATCTCACACTGGACTTTTTTTTTTTGCATCTAAACTATTTTTTTTTTTTTTTTTTGGAACGATTCTTATTGTAAAATGTGCAATACCAGTGGAGATTTAAAATACAGAAGCTTTCTGTTCATCGAGCACAGTGTGAACCACCTCTTCTTAAATGGCTCACGTTGCTGAAAAACACAAATACAGACTGGTTTAAATTTGTAAAAGAAATAGAAGCAAAATGATTCAAATAAGATCATAAATAAAAGTAAGTGAACAAACCGTTGGGCCCGTCTTCTCCATGTAACCCTCCTTCAGACAGGATGTTGTTAACTGAGGTATTAACTGTGAAGATAAGACAGAAACCACCACCAGCACGGTGTGATGAACGACAGCGGGTATGGAAACAGTCTGCCGTCAGACTTCTTTGGTCCTGATGATTTTACACACCAGACATTTTCCAACAATATACACTTTTATATAAATTAGGAGACAGAACCAGAGTGATAACAAGATAAAACAAAAGGAAAAGTCAATCTGAATCAAACCAAGGCTGCTAAAAATGACACTAATTTATTCACAATGAAGATTTATAGACAAAATAATCAGTATGAACTAACGTACTAGTTCTGATCTTTATAGATCAGGTTCTGTAGGAACATTATGAACAATTAATATCTCTTTGAAGGCCATCTATTTGGAGAAATAAAGTTTTTTTCCCACCTGACTGATGAGCTAACAGCTAGTCTGAGATCAGCCAAGACCAAAGTAAAAGGCTGCTGTTTTAAAACTGGTCTAATATTAAAACACATATATATAATCCTGATGCATGCTCAATAATCCAGGTAGAAAAATCCAAAAAAGTTCAATCTGGTCCTCTGGACATTCAAAAAACAAAAAACAAAACAAAGCAAAAAAATATAGAAACGTTTCGTCTCTCATCCAAGAGACTTCCTCAGTCTGAGTCAGTCAGTCAGTCAGTCATAATCGTCATTATTGCAAATCTTTCTTTTTTTTTATTAAACTTTTACACTGCCACCAGTGCCATGCAGCTGTTTCAACAAAATATTGTGAAATTCCTCCTGTCTGCAGAGGAAGGTGTCAGTGTAATGTGCATTATTTGCGCTCATCATGATCAATAACTCTCCTGTGGGAGCGTTCTATAATGTCCTCTCACGTTGTGATGTATGATACTAACGGTCCCATGTACCATATTATAAGTCGCAGTTTTTTTGCATAGATTTGTCAATCCTGTGACTTATATACGTTTTTTTTTCCCATATTCATAACACAATTTTTGACGGATGCTTTAAATTTCATAGAGCTGCAACAGAGAGTCCTCCCATGCACACTAACTTCACTCAGCTGGTGCAGGTGGAGGAATGCTGGAGAGCTAGTGGCTCCAGCTGAGATGGATGGATGGCACCGTGCCGCCCAGGCAAAATGAAGCTGTTTTGACCATTAAATAAACACATAATAAACACGACGGGTCAGTGGTGATGCAAAATGAATGTGACTTATATGCTGAAGTGACTTATCTATGTTTTTTCTTCATGATGCTTTTGTTGACTGATTTTACTTGCATTTTAGAGCGACTTATATGCCGGAAAGTACGGTAATCACTCCTATTATGACAAATTAGTGAGGAACAGAAAGAACTGGTACATTGATACGATAGAGTTGATATGATATGGTGACGTGTCTCAAGCAGAGTACTTGATTCAGAGACTCCTTCGTGCCCGTAGTGAACCCTTGGATGACAGCTTTGACGTGGATGGAGAGGAGCTGAGGGCTGGACAGGAAGATTATTCTCTAAAACTAATTTGACCGGTCCAGAGAGTAGAGCAGGTCAGGGTTTGAGGGATGAGACATGAATGAAAGCACTGATGAGTGTAATCTTGTATTCTGCATGTTCTGTGAATGTTTGGACTTCTCTCCAAAGCTTTGTAAATAAGTCTGATTAAAAACACCTTGGTCTGTTCTGGGAATCACCTTTTTTCCGCAACAAAGGCTACAGTTGCTGCTGCTATCTGCACTTGAATAAAAACACGGACATCCATGTAAACAACTGTGTGATATGAGCTTGATATTTATTTTATAAAGTTTTATTTAAAAAAAAATCATATGAACTACTAAAGCTAAAGGTGACAGTCTTGTTCTTACTCAAACTAGCTGTTAGCTCATAAATTCAGCCATTATTAACCCCCATATCTCTGAATTGAGACTATTTAAAGAGCTATCTACAACAGGTAAGATATTAATGGTTCTTAACTCTTTCTCTCATCTTCACTTCAAAAATCTAAATTAAAGTGGGTCGTACTTTTCCACTGTCGCCAATGTGCTGCTCTGGATGGGGTACTGCAACAAAGTGAAGATACTAAATAAGTAAACTGAATTTAATAATTTATTTAAACCATAATACATTTTGGGAAATTGGAAATCTGTATTCCATTTTTGATCAAAAAGTATTTACAATCAGTGCTTTTTGGATTTCAGCATTCATCCAAGTCTGTTAACAATGGATTCAGGTGTTGACAGCTTTTTAAAACTGCTAAATAAAAGAGAGCGGTAATGACTGTGACACCAGCATCATTCTGTTGTCATTAATTATTCAGATACATAATATTCATCTGTTTCTGACTGGTGATTCATTTTCCTTTAGTTTGAGTCAAACAGCTTGCGTCTCACCAAGGCTGAGCATAACTTTGATCAAAACTGCACAAGACAAATTTCAACTAAAAGGCCTCTCACTTCATTACTTTGAAGAGCAGGGTGTTTCTTCAGGAGGTATGCCAAGCGGGTGGCCCGAACAGCATTGAAAAATGACACAATTGCCTGTGCAAGGATGGAAAACAGTAAGTTAGATAAATGCACGAGCTGTTGGTGTGGACTGGGTGGTTCAGAACTAAAGAATGAGATATTTCTGCCTCACCTGTCCGTCCTCGTGATAAACAAACAGGTTCCGTGTGTGTTCGTCCTCTTTAAAGGAAATCTGCAGCCCGTGAGCATGGCCGATCTTCTCCGGCTGGAACTCTGCGTTCAGGTCCTTCATGCTGATGACGGCTTTGGGAGCCTTGGACTTCATGAAAGGACGGAGTTAGACGGAAGCATAAAGAAACGAGCTGAATCATGAGCTGAAGCTGTAACGCACATCCTCCTTGATGAAGTATCTGAGGGTGAAATCCTTCTGTGACAGCAGAAAGATCCTCTTCAGGAACTGTTTGTTGTCTCTGCCTTTCTTCCACAGGACTGACTCGAACAATTCTGCAGCGAAGATCCATTCACAGAAAAGACAAAAAAGAATTTTATTAAAAAAAACTAGAGCAATTGCATTAACTGCAAAAATGATGTATGAATGCTTATTGCAGAAGAATTTGCTGAAAAACAGCTGAAATTAGCTAAATAGAAAAAAAAAACATGCTGAAATATAGCTGAAATGGAAGAATAAGACTAAATTAACTAAATGGTAAATGGACTGTACTGTACATATAGCACCTTTCTATCTTATTTCAAGATACTCAAAGCACTTTACACCACAATCTGTGCCCCATTTACCCATTCATACAGCACTCTACTAGATCTCTACAAAGCTAATGGAACAAATCATTCTAAAGAGACTAATCAGTGCTTTAGATCACATTCATACACTGATGGGACACACATCAGAGGCTATGAGGGGTTCAGTGTCTTGCCCAGGGACACTTCAGCATGTGACTGCTGGTGGATTCGAACCCCCAACTCTCGCATTGGAGGACGACTGCTCTAACCACTCAGCCACAGGCACCCAGAAAGCAGAAAGAACATGTATTTGCTGAATTAGGTTTAAATAAGCAATTAGCACAAAAATTAGGAAATTAGCTAAAAAATCAAAATCAAAATCAAAAGGCTGAAATTAGCAACAACAAAAAAATGGCTGAAAAATAGCTGAAAGGCTGAAAGAAGCTTAAATTACCAGAAGGAAATGGAAAAAGCTGATATGAGCTCAGAAAATGTGGAATTAGCTGAAAGCCAAAATTAGCATAAAACAGCTTGAAATAGCAGAACTAGCTGAAAAATGCACAATTAAGCTGAAAGGAGCATAACAAGATGAAAATAACAGAAATAAGTTAATTTAACTGAAAGTAGCAGAATTTACCATAAATAATTGGAATCTATCTGAAAACAGCTGAAATTGGCAAAAGAAAAATCTATCTGAAAAGGTAGAACAAGCTTAAATCAGCAGAAAAAAACAGAAAGAACGTTTTCTCAATAATGCTGAAAATTTCAGAAATGAGCACAAAAAGTGGAAATTAGCTGAAAAAAGCTGATATTAGCATAAAACCTGCTGGTGAAAAAACAGAAAGAAGCTTAAATTATCAGAAGGAAGTGGAGAGAGCACATTTTTGCTGAAAAAGGCTGAAAAAAGCTGAAATGAGTTCAAAAGATGTGGGATTAGCTAAAAAAGCTAAAATTAGCATAAAAACAGCATAGCTGAAATAGCAGTACTAGCTGAAAATTGCATAATTAAGCTGAAAGGAGCATAACAAGCTGAAAATAACAGAAATAAGTTAATTTCACTGAAAATAGCAGAATTTACCACAGATAACTTGAATCTGTCTGAAACAGCTGAAATTAGCTAAATAGAAAAAAAACATGCTGAAATATAGCTGAAATGGAAGAATAAGACTAAATTAACTAAATGGTAAATGGGTGACAAGGCAGAACAAACTTAAATCAGCAGAAGAAAGCAGAAAGAACATGTTTGCTCAATAACCCTGAAAAAAAATCAGAAATGAGCACAAGTGGAAATTAGCTGAAAAATGCTGAGATTAGCATAAAACCAGCTGAAATGGTATGGTATAAAGTTTATTCATTTTAAAAAAGTACAAAACAA